TAAATGTGTACTAAAATTTTATACAGACGTGGAGTAAACGGTATGTTAAATGTGTACTAAAATTTTATATAGACGTAGAGTAAACGGTATGTTAAATGTGTACTAAATTTTATACAGACGTAGAGTAAACGGTATGTTAAATGTGTACTAAATTTTATACAGACGTAGAGTAAACGGTATGTTAAATGTGTACTAAAATTTTATACAGACGTGGAGTAAAGGGTATGTTAAATGTGTACTAAAATTTTATACAGACGTGGAGTAAACGGTATGTTAAATGTGTACTAAATTTTATACAGACGTGGAGTAAACGGTATGTTAAATGTGTACTAAAATTTTATATAGACGTAGAGTAAACGGTATGTTAAATGTGTACTAAATTTCATACAAATCGAAGAGTGGAATGTATGCTTTTAATTTTTTAAATTTCGTACAATTTTGTGCGTAGATAAAGAAAATCAGACGAAATTTGGCATCACATATCTCAGTTTTAGCTACATGGAATTTCTTTAAATTTGGTATGTGGTATAATCAAACAGAGAGGCAATATAGGTAAAAAATTCATAGATGTAGTACTGAGTTGCAGACAGCTGAGAATCGCAATTCATTGGTTCCTGTAAATAATACACTGTGCGCCACGTGTCTCAAGTTTTTTCTTGTCCGCGCGACACACTAATGTGTGTATTGATACATTTCTATCACAATTATTACTTAGATTATAAATTCGACTGGAATACAGAAATGGATTGAACAGCCTAGTTTTTTAGTTTTTAAAGGTTTTTCGTATTTAGTTCATTATATTTAACTTGCAGGGTAGATATTATTATGATTATTTATTTTATTTTATTTTTGCCTTGAAGTAGATAAAAGATGGGGAGTTCCAAAGGATTCGGCCTAGGAGCCTCTGTATTCCCCACACTATATATATATATATATTAATGTGTTTGTGATTCGTTTCTGTGTGCGAGTGAGTTAAAAGAGTTGTTTTTTTTAAGCCTGTTGGAATATGAAAGAATGAAAATTGTAAAGACGAGGGTTATGAAATATAACAATATTCAACACTTCAATGACAGAGTGGGATCTATATTAATATACTCCAACTAATCTTACGTTTATGCTAATTTTCAGACTTTATGGCGATATTCGAACTTGTGTTTTCATAAGGTTTTGAATTTAGATCAATGTTTGAAAGTAATTTATTGTTGTCTAAACAAAAACCTTTGGGGTTTTGTTATTCACACCAAAGATCGACCTAGTAATTAAGAGATTAAACATATCTTGCATGATAAAATAGCCTTGAAAAAATGACAGATTTATTTTATACTAGCATCCTTTTAATACTTATAAATACCGAAAAACATAAGCCTTAACTTTGTATTTCTCTATCATAGATAGTGATAATTTACAACCTTTTAATGAGTGTAACGGATGGCCGTATAGGCTAGTCGTTGGAGCTCGACATTATCACCAGTCACAAAAGATTTGTATTAAATCCAGGTATACAGTCACTAGTCGAGTACACAAGTCATTAATTCGAGGAAGTTTACAGTTAGAATAAAGAATTGACTCTAAGATTCAAATACAACAAAACTTTAATACGTTATATCAAGATACTGGAAGTAGTTTATTTTTACACCTATACAGTGTTTCCTTCGGTTATCCCACTTTTTTTGCCATTAACGCCTTAACGTTTATCGTTTACGTAGTTTGGTTCTGAAACTGAAATTCTGATGCCTTTCGCAAAACAATCTTTACTGTTTTGATTTTCTTTTTTTACTTGAAAAAATATGCAAATAACACAAGTTTCTGAGAAGGTGTCGTAAATATATATGTATAAGGAAAAATTACCGTTTCCGTCTTAGAATATATGCATATACACATACACTTGCGGGTAGAATCCGGGAATTTTTTAAACAAACTTATCTTCTTGATAGCATGTCCCATCTCGCTATTATTGTTTATGGCCACAACCCACGATTTTATTTTATAATTAAACGTGATTTATTAGTGACTCAGACCTATTCTTTTAGCAGGAATGAATGTTGACACCTACGAAACAACAATACAACCATCATGATTAATAAGATACAAAACAATGTATGTTTTAATCATTTCATTAAATCATTATGTTAGCTTTATTTGATTTACTCACGTGCTTTACATGTGGCTGGAGAAGTTCTTGATTTCATAATAGTGATGCCAATTCTTTAAATAATTATTTTCATACATTTTTTGTGTAAATATTTATTTATTTTTCTAAAAAATAGTATATTTTCTTTAATCAAATGAGTTAGCACAAGTTGTGTGCATATAGGAGGCAATTTTCTTTGTTTCTAATACGCTAATATTACTCTAGGAAAAGTCCTTTTTTTTAATAATGAAAGCAAGAATATCGTGGAACTTTGTGCCGGAACATCTATACGATACACGTGTTTTAGTTGAATAAGTATTAACGAACTGGGTACAACAGTTTTATTAAAACAGAAGGATGTAGACTTGTCTTAATTAGCTTTATAAAATAAGAACGTATGTACATTTCCTCGCTTCAATATAATAACGATATTCTTAATCGTATTTATTCAAGTTATATATGCCATTTCGTAATGCGTAACGATACATGTTGTTTAGGCGTCAGTTTCTCTCAAAACACCCTAAATGTCGGTGTATCATAAAGTAAAATCAAGAATTATAATACTTTGTTGGAATATGTTAAACAAATTTCCGTTTTCTGAGACTATAGTCAGTAATGCTAATTGTATAATATTTATCATTTGCAAAATAAAGAAAAGAAGACAATAATTTACTCCAGATTAATCATAATATATTTTGTCAAACGTTTTGCTTCTTCGGGACTTACACTAAACTGATCAATATGTTACGTCTCTTTTCGTTTGTTAATTACTCGTAAGAATTCTTTCCGAAGAACTTCAGCGATACAAGTCCTTTCTCAAATAAAACTAGTTTATTCTTTATCAATTCAACTTTTCAATACACTTAATTTCCACAGTCACTTTAACTTCAACACACGCTATAATTCTCAACGAACGATTCACGCACTTTCCTTACTACCGCGCTTGACTCAATTGTTCGTCTATATCTCTCTGTCTGTTATCCCCGTTCCGATTGATTGTCGGGCTTATATATTAGAATACAGCACATCTAGCAAACACTCGAGCATTCACGAACCTTCGAGATACTCATTACGTGTTACCAGCGTCACGTTACTTCCGCTGACGTAACAAATTTTTGTTTGTTTTGTTTATAATTAAGCACAAAGCTACACAATGGGCTACCTGTGCTCTGCCCACGACGGGTATCGAAACCTGGATTCTAGCGTTGTAAGTCCGCAGACATAATGCTGTGCCATTGGGGGCTAACGTAACAAATAGAACAAGCAAAGTTAGTTTATTAGAAAAAGAACAATGCTAACCACAAAAACATTGTACCTCATTGTTTCCAACTTTTGAAATGTTTGTTACAGAGACATATACACACACACACGTATACACGTACATGGTCATGCAACGTTTCGACCCTATTTATCATCAGGTATGATAAAATAATTATAAAATTAATCAGCAATATTATTGACTGTTTATACATTTAGGAACGAGCTTTAACATTATTCAAATACCTAAATTATTTTAAGTGTCTTTATTAATGATTGAAAATGACTTAAAACTCCATTAATATTGTTGACTATTTACAAAAAATATGAAAGGAGGCGAGGAAATATATATACAGGCATTGAAAAGTCTTTCATTACATTCTGTGAATATAATACTTTACACTGGAAATTTAATAATCACTTTTCAAGGAACTTCCCAAATTTTTCCGAATAAATGATGTTATGCCTAAAATAACTTGATTTTAGAGCATCTTACATTAAATATAAAATCCGTCGTTTACTGATTGTAACAGTTTGCAGTTTAGGTGAATTCACACTACATTTTTTATATATTTCCTTTCTTTTCATTTTCCGTTTTGAGAGTGGTTTGTTTCATTTACTACCTAAAACTGAAAAACTGAGTAAATTAATTAAAGTAGTCTTAGAATACATTGAACAATGAATTGATAGAAGAGTTAGCACATAAAACCACACCTATATAAGGTGTAATGCATGTTAAAAAAAAAGACCAAGAACTCGAGCGCTTTCGAATAGTTGACTATTCTTCTTCAGGAAAATAAAACAACGAAGATACTCAGCTTTTGATTAAATTCATTGTAATCATTATAGGTTAGGTTTAAGTTTCTCGTGTATTGATTTAAAACACTATGTGCTTCTATTCAGTTTGGTAAGTTTGGCTTTGTTAAGTTATAATTCTCATTCACATATACTTAGCTTATTATTTTTTCCTCAACTGATAAAGCTACTTATCAAAGTTTGAAAGTGTGGAGCAACAGAACGCCTTCGTTCTTGCTAAAATAATAAAAAAACATTAATAATGCAAGATATCTTTTATGGCATCGTTTGTTCCTTCTCATCCTGAATGTTTTGTCCACAGTGTTTAATATGAACCTATAACCTAATAAAACTAACTAGCAAGTAATTAACTATTATTTGATTGAAAGCTTTTTTTTTCTTTAATCTCCATTTCAGCTCAGAATGATTTGTTTTTGAATGCGCCCTCTTTTGCCTCTTACATCTCTGCTTACAATAGGAAGCCTATTCTATTTCGGTGTTATTTTAATTCATCATATTCTAGATTTTCTCAGCGTCGGTCCTTCGTTGGTTCAATTCGCTTCAATGACTTGAATAATGATATCTGTTTTGAACGCCGTATTCAGCAAGCTTATTAATCCAATGGCCCCAGTTGTACTGAAATCCATACATACAATATATTTTCAACCTCAGAATATACTTATTACGTTTGATCAGCCCAAATCAAAACTATCTTTCATCTCAAAACAAGTAGACCCTACGGTACAATGTTATTGGCTTCAACTCTGGTCACGGTTAGTTCCAAGTGATCCTAATAATTTGTTTGTAATTAAGCACAAAGCTACACGATGGGCTATCTGTGATCTGCCCACCAAGATTATCGAAACCCAGTTTCTATCAATGTAGTGGGCAGTCCTAAGGCTGCGCCACTGGGTGGTCACTTTTAGATAAAGTATTCCTAAACTAGGTGTAAAACAATATACTGTCATAAACTTAAATACTTTCGCATGAACCTATTTCCGTTTAGGCTCTCCAGCGATGCAGTGGTAAGTCTGAGGGCTTAAGACGCTAAAAACCGGTTTTCGATACCCGTGGTGGGAACAGATAGCCAATTTTGTACATTTGTTTTTACAATAAACTAACAAAATTTTCCGTTAATATCTTATTATCCCATAGTATGTATTTATTATCTACAAAATTCTTAAACCTTTAAAAGTTCTAATTTTGGAACTCTGAAATTAGTTCAGGTCACATGATAAATTGCAGCCTGAGGTGTTACTTTTAATATTTTGACCGGTCAAGGAACTTATCAACTGTTTTTGAAAAAGATATGAAACCGTTCTAACATTAGATTCATCATTTATCACTGAATTTTAGCAGTTTCGAGAATTCCAACCCCTCATCAATAACCATGGGCAAGGACAAATTGAAAGAACAAGACTAGACTTCGTGTAGTGATGTATTGTCTACCATTTCGTGAGATAGCAGCATTTTGTCCTTACTGACCTTGTGGTTGAGAAACCCCTGATATTGGGTGAAAAAACCTTGTCGGCACTGGATATGGCAGATACAGAACGGTTAAAATATTATTGTTATTTTTTGCTTTTACTCATAATTTCTTAGAATGAAGCAGAGATATCTTCCCTTTTCAGTGCTATTTTTCTGATTGGTCATTTACAAAGATAATATGCTTTGTGACGGAAAGTTGGGGCGCTTTACGAGAGATTCATCCTGATCTTTAAGGGGAAAAACATTCGTTTCTGTACTGAAGGAAGACTCACTTGTAGAAGTTATGTTAACCTGTGATGACCGCTTGTTTAATTAAAATTAACCCATTATCTTATCAAATTATTTTATTTTTGCTGAAGCTCAGACGATCGACTGCGCACTTCTCAAATTATTTTTTTCCCTTTAATCCAGAAAGCAAAGTATTTAGTTTCAGGTTGTGACGATTATATATCAATCGTTGTCATGGTTAGTATAGTAGCCTATACGATCACCTAAGTCTAATTATTAATTGGTGATGTTCTTATTAATTAGATACTAATTACCAACTAGTTTTTATTCACCCTAACTACTACATGTTAGATTCAAGAACCTCTTGGTTTGCTGAAGTCAGGTAACTATGTGCAGTTGTATCCGTATATTAACGCAAACAAAGAATGCTGGAAATACAAATTAGAAGTACATAAACATGTCTGATATTATTGTCAGTTATATGTAAACACAACATTATAAGCTGTTAGAATTATGAATGCAACTAAACTTAAGTTGATTTAAGTTCAAATACTGATGATAAAAAGCACAACGTGACAAATAGCGAGAGGTTTGATGACATAACTCGCTTACAAAATAACTGACTTTTTAAGGATCTATTTAGTTGATTTCATGAAATTATTATCTATAGGTACTGCTGGTTACCACAAATTATTTCTATTGTAACCGAATCACTTTAGAAAAGATGTTGAAAACAAATTATTATATATATGTTTAAACAAATGCGGTCTTCAATAGAAGGCAAACCGTCATAACTACTAAGTCTAAAATAGTCAGCATTTATTGCATAAAATAATTCAACTAAACATATATATATATATGTGTGTGTGTGTGTGTGTGTGTAAGTAAGAAAAATGCAACAGTGAGAAAATAAAGACTTTAGACTGTTGGAGATAAATCAACTTTAAAACCTGTGGTTGTATTTTATTTTCTTGGCGATGTTTCGAGCAAACGTTCTTTTTCTAATATAACCTTATTTTTCCTTCATCCCAGACATATACACCGTGTTCGTGCACCAAAATCAAAGCTAAATTTCTTTATAAAATTTGGATTCAAGTATGCTTGTCTCTTCATCCAAAAATTTACACGCCATGGATTTTCTTGTTGTCGGAAAAACAAATGTTTCGATAAAATATGATCAACCTAAAGGATTTCCAGGAAATCAAGAACACCTCAGTAAAACACAGCTAAGATACTGTATATTGTAACGTTGAAAGCAGAAACTAGGTTCTTAGTCTTTCAATGCATTAATAATAAAGTGACATGAAATCTTGTTACAATACTTTTACACATATTACACACTTTACCAAACGTAACGTACTGTATAACAATGCATGTCCGAACTTGACCTACAGGTGTATTATTTACGTTTTAACAGGTATAACTTATAATAATAAACGAGTTACACGCACCAGATTGTACCAAAGCCTTGTAGGTAAAAGGAAATTCCTGACTTTATGAATACAGGGCATGCGCTACGGTATCATCGTATATTGATCCTCGTAAAAAATGGCACTTACCGTCTTCTTCAGTTGAGTCTGTCCTGTCTTTTTCTCGCAGTTGGCCGGTAATTTGCTTTCCACCTGACATTAGAATCAGCATGACTATACAACACAAAACTTTTAAATCCATTTTTTTTAAATGCAGATAGTTCTTAGTCTTTTATATGAAGATATATCGTTTAACAAACGACTTATATGCTAAATTAACCAATATAAAATTTGCCTTTCTTATTGCCAAGTTCATACGTGACTAAGAGACAGACTTTTTTATCTGTGTATAGGATACCGAATATAGCCAATTGTTGTTGTAGGAACATGCAAAGCACACCCAAACGGTCCTTAAACTTCAAATTCAGAAAGCTAAAAAGACATGAACTTGTTGCGCATGCGTCGTCAATTACTCTCTAGAAAACAATACGAGAACTACTCGACCCTAGAGGGCGTGGTTTATTCAGAACTTCTTAAAGTTCTTTTAACAAGGCTTGTGAGCAATGTGTTAAAGCTCACATGATCCATGAAGACACCAGGCATTGCCCCACAACCTATAGGACACACTGAAAACATGACGTCATGCTGCTATGCTTCTAATAACTTCCGGTTTATTGCCCTTGACCGATCCTTGCTTGTATAAACAACTTATGTCTTTGTTTTTGCCACACAACAATAAATCCGCGAAGAAAGTTACAATAAGGCCATATGACAAACAAATATTTGTAAAATACTACACATAGATGGGAAATCTGTTCATGAAATATTGTTTATTTAACAACAGAATGTGTGTTCGTAAGAAACACGTTTTTGAACTTAATCAATTTATACTTATTGTGATTTAGATAAATACAACAGAGAGAAAGTCTTATTGAAGTATCACTAATCAAATGTACGGATATTTTCAACAACGTATTTATACAGTAATAGTTTATCCTTACACTTCTATGTAGCTAGATAAACAATTCTCCTGGTTTATTTTTAGATAACAACAGCAAGAATAAATGCTGTTTTAGTATTTCGTTATTTATATGAAATCTGATAAACTTTGGAAATATTGTAGGAGAATACCCATTCTTCATAGTGGTGCAAAATTCCAGTCACACACGTAGTTAACATCAAACTTTTCAAGGATAAAACTAAGGTTAAATAGTGTGCCCCTTTATGTAGTGGGGAGCATATATATGTGTGCCCATGACAGCGAAAAAGCTTAGTTTTCTTTTAAAAACACGAGTTAACCAAGCTAAGTTTGTTTGTAGTTAAGCACATAGCTACAGAACGGGCTATCCGTACTGTGCTCACCGTGGATGTCGAAACCCAGTTTTTAGCATTATAAGCCTTCATACTTACCGTTGTGCCATCAGATAAGAGCTTCCAGTTATGCATTTTAGTTTTGAAATGGCGAGATTTCAAAGTTAAGTAGTTTGTTTAAATAATTAATCGATAAGTTTTATCATTCTTTAGTTCAAAAAATTTTAGAGATGCATTACAGCACAATAGTTAATGTAAATCGTCAGTACGTCATGCACTAAACATACAGACAAGCCATGTATATTTTAAACCATTCAGTTTTCATCCATTGGTTAGTACATAATTACAAAATAATTATTTGATGACATCTTTTAACTCTTGATAGAACAGACTGACTTTATTGTGGTTGCATTTCATCACCCCGGAAGTGAAAAACTGTTGCCACATTATAACTTTACAAACCTGGAAGCATTTGTGTTGTGTGTTATACGTCATTATCACAAACGCGAGGTCACGGACAGTTGTACAATTGAAAACCCGATTTACAAGGTTGCGCTTTTATTCATACACTTAAATCTCTTAAACCCAAATATAGGCTCCCTAATAATTATTTCTTTCAAATTAAATATTCACAGAAAAGAAAGAGGGAGCTAACCTCTAATTACTGATCTTTTTTTTGGGGGAGGGAGGTAAGGGCACACTTTGTACTTCCACAGTTTTAAATAACAAACTTCTGAAGTTTACTTATTCTAGAACTTAAAAAAATATCATTTTTCTTAAATAACACAGTTTTCAGTACGTTAAGACTGGTAAGTTGATTTTACAGTCTATACCTAACAGTACGATAACGTAAAGGTGGTCTTAGCTCACAGTCACTTGATCTCAACAAAATTTAGAGGTGATTGAAGGCTTTGATAATCTGGCTAGTAAATATTTTTTAAACTTCTTTTGAAAAGTTTTCTTATTAAGCTATTTCATTCCACATCAATATTACCAGACGGTCAAGTATTGCCACTGTTAAATTAGTTTAAGCCAAGCAATGGCGCTGCTACTCATTTTTTCAAATTTATGTCTTGTATGCGCTCAAGGCCAAAACTTGCATATACAACCATGAACTTAATGGACCTATAAACTGAGACACACATGTAATAGTTATATATATATATACATTAACCAAACAAAAACCGTTCCTTATCTCGATGCATTTCATTGGTTGACAACACTCTGTTGCTTAACGCTTGCTATTTTCTATCATGCAAAGGTTAATTTTTGTCAGCTTGTCTACTACCACTTGCATTGCAATTGGTAAAAGACATCAAGCATGCACAGTGAGACAGTTATGACTTTTGTAAATTCGTTTTTCGTTTCTGTTAGTAATAATCATTAATCGCATTCAGGCTTAAAAACAGAAGCAATAAATTTTCTACTGATACTTTATGTTACATAAGCAGAAATGGGTTACTGCAAAACATATCCCTCAGGATATTTACATGTGCATGTGTAGAAACAAGATAATTATACACATGGCCTTTTTTTTTTGGTGATATTTATCACGCTCTCCTTCATCACCAGTGCAAGTTTTCAAAAGTATAACAGTATAACTCCGAACTAAAAAGAAATTTACAAATTAATAAAGTCAGTTCTGTATAATACACTGACTAGAAGTGATTAATGTCATAAATAAACACACTCAAAACCTATAATGTTTAGAATACAATAAATCATTATTTGGAAACGTTGTTAATAATATTTTCGGTCGTAATACCAATAATACCGCATGTGGTTCGTCCAGCTTAGAAGATTTAAATCAATCCTAAATCCATACGCTAAGTTAATAATGCAAGATGACCTTCATAAATGTTAAACATAATTTTGAACGATAAAAAGGCATTAAATGTTTTAACGCCTTAGAAAGATGAAAAGGCATCTCAAGACCTGAAAATTCATAAGGAAGAAAAGATAACGCTAGAGGTCATGTTTAGAATGCATGATATAAAATGAGACTTTCAGAGCACATATTTATAGATAACTTACGATCCATTAAATCTAATTTCTAACCCTTAGCATTACATACACTTCTGTAATATATATATTGTGTTTTGAACTAATAATATAATTTTTAGATATTAAGTGAAATTAGAGACAAACTGACAGAATATAGCCTCCAGAAAAGTCTTTTGTTTTACCTACAGACTGAACATGGTAAGCGACTGGTCTCAGTTTATATGTAGCCTTGTAGGTGGCCATACTGAAATCTTATCCCTGTTAAACTATAAGATAACGTGAAATGGCAAACTAAGCCGAGTTCATGGAGGACTGAGAAGAAGATGCCATTGTACCACGGAGTACCAAGTGAGTTGCAAAGGTATGGTAAGATTCATGAAGTAATTCGCGAGACCTCTCAAAACAGCAAAATCTCTTAGAGAGCAAGGAGAGTCAAAATTTATGTGACTACTACAATCCCTGATTTTATGTATGTAGCCCAATTTAGGGTAACGGTCAATTACCCTGGAATGAAAAGGTTATGCGCCCGGTGTAAGCAAGAGGGTCACTTCGCGGCAGATTTCAAAGAAGAGCTATGCAATAGGTGCAACGAAACTGGTCATAAGTCAGATGGATGTACAAAAGGATGTCAAAAATGCGGAGAAGGACATCATTTCGAAGATGCATTATTAAAATGTTCGCCTCAGGTTTATCCTCTAAAGCAGAAGAAGAAGGAATAGAACTTAAAAGTGATGTGAGTGAAGATAGCTTGAACTGAGAGGTAAGTAAAGTAAAGTAAAACAAGTAATTCAAGGAAAACAAGAATAAATCATTAGTATCAGAGCTCAAAAATAACGAGGGTAAAATAGTAAGCGATAAAACAAACTTACAAAAAGTTGTAGTAGGTTATTATAAAGACTGTATAGTAGAGAATCGGACGAGGGACTCTGTAACTACACATCTCCCTTCTGAGGTAGAACACAATTCACGTCCCTTAACAATACATGAAGATAAAATAGCAATAGACAGACTTGGTTTGAAAAAATCACCTGGACCGGATGGACTTCCGCTCGAGTTATTTGAAAAATTCTGGCCCATCACAGGTGGAAAATTTGTGACCATGTTGAATAATTGCTTAAATAATGACACGCTTCCCCTAACTTTAGTAGACTGAATAATCAGCTTACTGTGTAATAAAGAGTCTTCTAATCTAATAACAGATTATAGACCGCTTACACTTAGTAATGTTCATTATAAAATCTTCACAAAGTGTATAAAAATTAGAATAACCAGTGTACTAGAAAAATTAATAAAATCCTTGCAAACTGCAGGCGTTTCCGGACGCAATATCCTTTTTAATGGAAATATGCTAAGAGATATTATACATCTAAGTAATAGCAGAGGCTCTCCTGCGTGTGTAATATTACTAGGTCAGGAAAAAGTCTTCGATAGAACGGATCCCAACTGCATGCTATATGTCTTAAAAGTATGGATTAAGTTGATTTATAGTTGTATCAAAGCAAAAGTAAATATTAATGATCACTTAACAAATAGTTTCAAAGTAGAGTCTGGCGTAAGACAGGGGTGTCCCCTCTCTCCTGTTTTATATGTACTTGTGATTGAATGTTTTCTTGCTAGAGTTAACGCAGATACTGAAGTAACACACGTTGATGACGTAACCCTAGCTCTGACCACAGAGGGATCTATAAACATCTTAAACGCTACTGCAGTGCTAATGTTTCTAAATTATATAATAGTTTCTGGTTAGGCAGATGGAGAGTGAGAATCAACTTCCCAGCTAACCTAAACTGGACAAAAAAAAAACCCGTTTAGATTTTAGGTATCTGGTTTGGTCCTTTTGATTCATCCAGATACAACTGGAAACTTAAAATTAAAGATGCGGAAGATCAGATAAAAAAGTGGAAAGCAATTGAATTAAGAGTACAAGCCATAAAGCAAATAGTATACTCTAAACTAATCTACCTGGGGCGCGGATAAGGAAGAAGTTAAAATAATAAATCAGATAACTATATTCCTGGAATTATAAGGCAGAACGCCTTTCCAGAGACTGATAAGTCTACCAGTTATTTAAGGAGGCCTAGACCTCCCAATTTCA